CTCCCTAGTAATTGGGACTATAGGCGCAAGCCACTGTACTTTGCTTCTATAGTTAATAATTTTTTATATTAAACTTTCCTTGTTCAAATTTCTAAGTGGTTTCTCTCTTGATTGGACCCTGACTGATACATTATATTTTGGTGTCCTTACTGTGATTCTCCCAGGTTATCGATCTTCAGTAGACAAAGGCAGATCAACATACTTGAGCTCTTCTATTCTAATCAAGGTTTAATTACAGTTTCATTTTTCCTCAACAGATATAGTAGAATGCGTGGAAAGACACATTTCAAACAAAGAATCAACCAGTTATGGAAAAGTATTTGATGAGTTTCTTGGTAACTCTTAAAGGAGAAAACATCTGTGACAGCCTTGAACTGGAATCAGAGAGCTTTAGCTAAATGATTTGTTAAGGCATCCATATCTCAGTTGTTTTTCTTCATAAATATTTATCTAAGACATTATTAATTCTGTCAACATAACTGTTACATGAGGGTATAGGAAAGCTGGATCAGGGCATTATTCAAGCCTTAGATAGGCATGGAAGTTCTAAGTGACAACTTTATAGAGGATGTCCACTCTGGATCTGAAATTAATTTCCACAAAAGTCTGGGAATGAGAGATCTTAGGTTTCAGTGTACCCCAAGAAACTCTTTGGGGATCCAGATAGCATTTAGCCAACGAATGCAGCAGCTCAGAGTTGGACTAACATATATTTCTTGAGTATTTCTGGTCTATACAAAAACATTAGGGTCAACTAAATCTCTACAACCTACTTAGAGGCCTAGTATATGATTCCTATGTCTCTAAAGTCTGGTAACATCTAACCCTCACTTCAGACTGCATTGGGAAATGTCAGAGTCTTCTGTTCACCTCTCAACTATGCAAAGCCTTGGGTAGTTTCATTGGTTACCCTGACGAGACAAATAGGGACAAGGTAACTTTCTAACTGGGCTAGTGTAGGAGGCAAATGCTTAGTGATCATAGTTGAAATCACCTCGTACATACACTATAACCATTTGACCTAGCTAAGCTGGTCAAATGTTGTTTTTTTTAACTTGTTTTTGCTCACTGCTCTCTCACCAATAAAGATGCCCAAGCTGGAACCAGCCACCTCCTGGGCGGGGACTCTGGCACTCTCCAGAGCTCTGTAGGTGTGTTCTAGCAGCAATTTCTCCTGAGGGTCGAGACACTTTGGCCTCCGAGTTGCTAATTCTAATTTATCGTCAAATTATTCAATTTAAAAAAATGGCATTATGGCCGGGCATGGTGGCTCACGCCTGTAATCCTAGCTCTCTGGGAGGCCGAGGTGGGCGGATTGTTTGAGCTCAGGAGTTCGAAACCAGCCTGAGCAAGAG